ACTTTCCAAAAGCTGCCTGTGAGGAGCCAGGCCTGCCCCGTGGGCTGGGCGGAGAGAGGAAGGCAGCTGGCCGCTTCGTGCGGACGAGGCGGCGTCTCCTCGCGTAGTGCGGGCGCCGTCACTGTCAACAGCCGCTGAGCCAGCGTGTAACTGCACTTAACTCCCAGGCAGAGAGGCTCAATGCACCCCCCTTTCTGTACACGTGTGTCCCCATGAACATGCATGTCTAAGCTGCCTGCATGGCACCTCTGCAAGCCACCACTGACACGGACCGGCACGGGCACGTCCTCCCGCAGACAGACACTTGGCGATGCTGAGCAGTGCCCGCGCGCTGACACACCCCTCTGCCTCTGAGTTGACGGTGCTTGAGGATTTGGAAGGAAATTTATCGTGCTTTATGGGGGCTGGCTGTTGTTTTCAGTTTGTTTGTATTTTTTTGCTGTTTTGTGCTTGTTAGTAATGTTTTTGCAGCTCCTGTTTCCCCTTCCCATCCCAGTCCTGTCCTTAGCGTTGTCTGAGTTTTCTTAGGGTGAGGCTGGCGAGTCAGCAGGTGCCCAGAGGGCAGGGATCTTTGGGGAAGCACAAAGGGAACACTGAGCTGAGGGTTTCATACTGAAAAGAGTTAGGAACACTCCTTGGGAACGATTGAGTCGCAGCTGAGGGATGGAAGTGGGTTCGGTCCAGCCTGCAGGGACTGAATGCAGAGCAGTTCAGCAGCAGTTAGGTCCCTGAACCAGCTCTTCCTTAGTGGTGCTCTTGCAGGAGAGTCTGAAGGTGTTTGAGATGTTTTGAGTGTCCCCAGCAGCAGCTCAGCAGCAGTTTGCCTTTGTCTGGGCTCAGTGTTACGTGCACTGGGTGCGAACAGGAGCTCCCTATGGGAGCATTCAGGTTGGCTTCGGGCCGCTCCAGGTGGCGGTGTGAGACCCAAAAGGAAGAGCTGCAGTCCCCCATGTGAAAATAAAGACAAAAGTTTGTGGCCATACAGCTTAGCCTGGGTGCTCAGAGGCAGCTGGACGTGCTGATTCATGTATTTCCCTTACTGGGTATTTCTCCCTGTCCCCACAGGATAGCAGCGTCAGCTAAGAGCACTTCCGAGCTTCAGTTAACGTGATGGATAGATGAGTGAGTCTGTCTTCCGTTGACCCTGCTGTTTTGGTCATGCTGTTCCTCTAAATGCTTGGTCTGAGTGGCTTGTAAAAGGTAGCTTAGACATGCAAACCTGCCGTTAGGGTTCTGCGAGGCGAAGGTTTGCAGATCTCAAAAAGCTGCCTGGCTTTGTCTGGTCTAGCTTTAGAAAGATGCTGCCACCTTTTCTTTGTAAGTTGATCTAGCCGAAGAGTTTATCTAGGTAGTTTATTCTGATACATAGTTTGTAAAGCAGTTAAAGGTTTTTAAGGCTTTGGGAGAGTTGGTCACCTGCGTCCCACAGAATTTCGGAAACGGGTGAAAATGGAAATGGGTGGAAAATCGGAGCTCGGAGTGTGTCGGTGATGACGGAGAGATTGTGGTGCAGTTTGCAGGGGAAGGCTCCATAGGTGCTGTGAATTAAAGTCACGTGAATTAAATACACCGAGGTTTAGAAGAGGGCCTGTAGGCTCTTCTCCAGCCAGGTGACCCGGGCTCCGGCGAGCAGAGTCTGTCGTGTCCCCAGCAGCAAAACAGAGGGGGGGACTGGGAATGGGAGCGTGCGTGAGCAGCTGTGCAGCTTGGAGAGGGGAAAGCACAGCACATCTGAGGTATCCTGTCCTAGCCTAATCAGCACCAAAAATAACTTTCTTTTCCTCTTTAGATTTACGTTGGTTTTTTGGTTTTTTTTTTTATTAGCATGAAATTTTTAAAAAAAGTGTATATTTTATTTATTTATTTTTTACTGTTTTCTGCAGATTCTGGTCTGAGCAGCCCTCTCAGTGACCCTGAGTTTGACTTTGAAAGTTAGTTCCTGTGTGTTTTTGTTCCTGTTGGTTTCATTCCCCCCCCATTATTATTTTTTTCTCTTCTGTCGCTTTCCTTTCCAATTCTGTTTCGTTCCTGTTACTTTTTTTTTTCTTTTTGCCGAGTTCTCTGTATTCCTGCAGTGTTTGCCCATCTCATCCCTTTTCTGTGCCATCTGTTTGTCTGAACTGCGCTTCCAGTTTTACAGTATCAATTAACAGGCCTTTTGCGAGACAAGGGTAGTAGCAGCAGAATAGAGCCCCTGGTAGCAGCGTGGGACACTTGTCTGTCCTTCTGTGTCTCTTGTGCTGTCCCAGGAGAAAGACCTGGGTTTCAAGGCTTCCTTTTCTCCCCATTGTCGAAGATGTTTCATTTCTGAAGCTTGGCTAAATGTCCCTTGTACTTACTCACAGGCAGGAAGCGATCCTTTGTGCACCGGTGTGTGAGCGTTGTGTGTGTGCGTGCCCGTGCTTTTGTGTCCGTTGCTTCACGCAGAAAAAAGAAAACGGGAGCTGCAGCTGACGGTGCCCTCGCTCTTTGGAGGGAGCTGCACAGGCACCTTTTCATGTCAGACGAGGAAAAGGGCCGTTTCCCATCTGTGGCAGGTGTCTGTTCCTTGGCACCGACTTGCTCCAGGAGCACAAAGCCCAGAGGCCTCTCCATGGTCCTCCACACCCCCCGGGTTTCATACCGAGTGCCATCCAGCCGCGGTGATTTTGCGAGGATAAATGGGCTCTGGCCCGTGTAACAGATGTTAGGGTGACGTTTCTGGCGAGTTGGCTGGTGCACAGAGAATCAAGTCTTTTGTGATAAGATTAGAGAGATTCAAGTGATTGAAATGTTAGATGAGACTGGCTCTAAAAGACTTCATCCCCATTAGAAGCCAAGATCCCAGCTTTGCTGGGTGGGTTTGGGGTTTGATTTTCTTTTTTTTTTTTTATGCTGGGCAGGGAAGTAGATGTGAGGTTTTAGCTGACAAATGTGAAGAATCACAGATGCCGCTTGTGCTAGGAGATGTGAGGGCTGCGACATTTTTCTGCACAGTTTAATCCCGATGTTGGTCTCTCCGGTATTGACTGCTCTGCTCAATACTGTCCCAGTCCACCTGCCGCCTTCCCCTCCGCTCCTGTACTGTAACAGGGGGGGGTTGTGTGTTTTTTCCAAGCCTCGCTGATCCTTGGCAGGACCTCAGCCCACAGCAGCGCTTCCTCTGCCACCCCTACCGCAGCAGGAGGTCTCCCTGGGTGACAGCCCCGCAGGTAGCCAGGGGGCCGCCAAACAGAGGAACCTGCGAGCCGTTTCCCTTCGTGCCGAAATAAGAGTTATTGACTCAAAGCGGACAAAAGAGAAGCTGCTGCAGCTGACGCGGCAGTGCCAGCTGGTACCGCTGGGCAGTACCACTCCTGGCTCATTTAATAGCAAACTCCTACTGGATCTTAATGGGAACCCTGATGCACTTGGCATTTTGACCAGGAAAGTGTTTATCGCTGCAGAGGTTTCCGGTCTTCTTTTATTATAAAGAGCCCTAGAAATCGATCCGACAAGGCTATTTCTGTCTTAAACAGCAGCAAACCAAGGCGAGTTCCCATGTGCTCTCAGCCAGTGTCTGTTTACAGCGGGTTGGAGGTGGGGGCAGGATGTTCCCCAGCAAAGACAGAGATGGTTTTCAGGGGCCGGATTTTTCTTGGAGCTTTTATGAAGGAAACTTCTGAAATGCCTTCAAGGGGAATGTGACTTCTCGTTCCAGATTGGCACAGTGGGCCTTTCCCATGCAGGCCACTTGCTCAGAGGGAATGACACATACTGCTCCGTGACTTCTAAGCCAAGGAGAATCTCGCTTGCTTGTTATTACTGGGTTTTCTGATTGTTTTATTTTTTTTCCTTTTAACCTACGTGTTCATCATTTGGGATTTCATTTACGACACTGTGTTTCTAAGCACGCTTCAGCAAATTATCTCTGGCTTTTTGCAGCAGAGGCAGGTGGTTGCAGCTGGGCCGAGAGCTGCCTGGCTGCCTCCCAGCCCAGGGGGGGAAGAAGTCAGTGAGGGGTGGACCCACAGAGATCTGGAGATGGTTTATTGAGTTGCCAGAAGTTTTTCTGAGTAGGGTTTGGCTTTGCTCTAATGCTACAGCTAAAGGTATGTTTGCTGCCCTCTTCAGCCCTTACTTTCAGAGGCAGAAGGACAGACACTGAGAAAAGGGTTTAATGGTGTTGACTTGGTTTGGTCTCTGATCTCTAAGATCTTGGCCAGTGTGGCCTTCCTGTCCCACGCAGGCAGAGAGAGGACCAGTTCCTCCAAACGCCCCTGGTCTGCATCTGTTGCTTGGTACTGGGGTGGATGGCAGCCACCTTCCAGTCCAGGGTGGGAAGCAAAGGCGAAATCCTTCAGGTGCAATGGCCTACAGGACAGCAAAAGATTAACTAGGAGCGTCTTCTCCATGAGCTGAGAGACACTTTCTGCCCTGATCCTCAGCAGAGTAGAATGGAGCCAGTGCAGCCTCCAGAACACTTCGGGGTTATTTTTGTGAGGTTTTTTCAGTCTATTCCCCTCACCCCCCTTTTTATTTTCCAGCCAGACTTGTGCTGAAAACAGATGTCTAGTTAGCTTAGGAGAAACCTGTCGGAGTGGTGGCTCAAATCCCCGCTCTGTGCCAGGCTCGTCCTGTCCCCAGGCCTGGGGGAGGCAGCGTCTCTCCAGAAGTCACTGTAAAACTGAGGATGTCATGCTTGCTTTGCCATCTCTGTGCCGAGTTTTCAGAGTATCTGACCATGCCGCTGCCACCGCCGCTGCTTTGTCACACACCAACACCCACGGGGCTCGAAATTCTCCCTGGCTTCCATCTCTTCTCCACTCCTGTCCTTCTCATGGGGGGCACTGCCCAGGGCTTCTCGGTGTGCTGCTGTCCTTGCCTCTCCGCTGTCGTTCGTAGCGGGATCGGCTGGCAGACAGCCTGGGAAGCCTTTGGAAAAACATGATCCAATGCAGATGAGCAAAGCACGGAGCGCTTTTCCACCTCCATTTGTAGCGTAGCTATTGGAGATGACAGGATGGGAAGGATCCCTGCTCTTCCCAGAGCTCCAGCTGCCCCCTCTCAGAGCAGGGTGTGCAAATCAGACTGAGAACCAGCTCTGCCTTCGCTGCTCAGCCCCGTTCGAGGCTGAGATGTGCCTTCATCTGACCAGTCTGATGCAGCATAGCCCTCCCACGACCAGTACATCTCGGAGAAGATCGAGTCTGTTCCCTGGCAGTTCTGTGTGCCTCAGTACAAGCACAACTAAGTGCTGGTGAGAATGGCAAGGGCAGCAGGTGAACCAGGGTCATGAGGCATCGGTCTCCCCAGCAAGTTGTTTCCTATTCCCCAGACTGAGAAGGAGCAACAGGATCTTTTACCTCTCCATCACAAAAGGTAATGACCCCCCCAGCGGGCCACGACGGGGTCGGTACAGCCTGCCCCGTAGGTGGAAGAGGCAAGGACAGGGTGGCCCTGGCCATCTGCGGGCTGTGCTGGAGAAGGAACGTCATCCACCCGCCAGGAGCGGGAAGATGAGCCCAGTGCCTGACACTTCCACCCCTGCTTGCGCTCTGGGAGCGGCGAAGGTTAGACCGCTGCGTCCGTGAGCTCACCAAGAAGCTGACAGAGGCAATGCTGTGCAAAGGACAATTCCTGAAAAGCCTCCCCTGCTTCCCCCCATCTGCATTCCCTTCCCCTGCCCCCCATCGCCATGGTTGGCTGGATCCCTGCCCCTTCCCTTCTTTTGTGTTGGAGTTTGTTTATGATCATTGCGGGTGCTGTAACATTTGCTGCGTAGGTTCCTCTGGCAGCGTTTGCTCATTTTAAGTCCACTATTGGAATTGCTAACACGCATCTGCTCTTCAGATTTTTCTTTTTGTTTTGCTCTGATTTACACATTGAAAATGGGGCCATCACGGGAACACTCTCATTTTACTGTTGGTTTGGTTTTTTTTTTTCCCCTTGATTTTTATTTTTTACTTCCAAGGACACAATTTCGAGCCCTGAATTCTTCTCTTCTAACCTCCCTACTTTCATTGCAGATCTTACATTGTAATTTTTTTTCTTTTCTTGTTTCTTCTTTCTTATAAAAAATGTAATGGTTGTGAATTTTAGTTATTATTAAACGAGATTCTTTTCCTGCTGTCTTGTCTTTTAGGTATGCTCAGCCACCCACCAATCCCTGTTTCCGAGCTGGCTGAACACACAGAGCATCTCAAAGCTAATGATAACCTGAAATTGTCCCAAGAGTATGAGGTATGAGCAAGAGTGAGTGCTGTGCATGGGTTTGCAGAGCCAGGGAATGAGGAAATTCAAACAGGCCCTCATGCAAATAAACACAGCTTCGTTTTAAGGATCTGGTTAGTTGAAATAAAAAAGCTATTTACATAGTGAAAATGAAGTACTTGCTCAGTGCTTTGCTAGGTTCATTTCCAGATCATAAAAAAGAGGCTGGGTCCATGAGCCACTTGTGTCCAAAGAGTTGTGGGCGTCTTGGGCAGGGCCTGAGCTCCCTTCACGAAGGGGAACGCGGTTCTGGAGGATGACTGCCAGGCAGATGGGATGGGGAGTTGTCCTTGGGGGTGCCTGTGCCGAGCTGCTGAACGTGGAGAGGGCCGAGCCGAGGACTGTGCCGGGCAGGTTTAGGTGGGTGAAGCTGGGCAAAATGGACAGTAAGGCCTCCACAGCTGATGTGCTCGGCAGCCACAGAGCTAAAGCTGAGAAAACAGGATGAGTTGTGCCTTTCTCGTCTAGGGGGTTTGTGCTCTTTTTTTTTTCTCTTTCCTGCTAATGTTTGGTTACTCAAATGGGTTCTTGCAGGTGACCAGCCAGGCAGAGCCGTGGCTGCTGGCCTTGCATTTCAAATGACTATCCCAGACTGTAAAATTCCTGCCTTGCTGGGACTGACGTGTCGGCCCAGTCCCAGGGCAGACTGGAAGGGGAAGGCAAAGAGCAGCCGAGCCCCCACGTACCCGCTACGCAGCGTGGCATCCCTGTCCCCAGACGGGGAAGGGCTGTGCGCTTGCACAAACCTCCTCCTCTCCGCTCGCCGCGCTGTGGCTGCATCAGCACCGGTTAAATCCCAGTGCGAACGCCCAGTGCTGCTGGGGCCATCGCTGTGCGGGCTGTGGATTGAACATAGGACCGAATTTTTTTTTATTGTTGTTCAAAGACATGAAATTTTTATGATATTTTTAGACTAATAACTAGTCTAG